ATATATATATATATATATATATATATATATATATATAGGTACCATTTAAATTTTTAATATTTAAATAATGTCCTTTCTTTACAATATAATTTATAATGAAGATAATTTATTATGATTTAAAATGAAATTATTTAAACAGAAAAAACTAATATTAAATTATAAACGTCATAGTTTAACACAACATGCTAAAACTTCTTTTTAATAAAATTTGAATAAATAATGAGTTATGGAGAACGTTTCATTCAATTTTCCAAGTATTTTTATTGGTGGTAAAAATTTTAATAACATTTTTTGAAATTCAAATTTACATATACCATAAATATTCTACTTTAAACTATAATAAATATACTATTAAAATATACTTTTATTAGCTTTATTATTTTAATGTATTGCTAAATTAAATAATTATAATTATTAATATTTCAGTGCTAAGTTATAGGTATATTATTGACAAAAATGTATAACATTTTTAAAGGAAATTTCGGCACTGCCTGTGAATGGTGCCCTATAGGTGACCGCCTGAGTCGCCTCGCACCTTCTATACCGGACCAATTTCTACTTTTTAGTATTTATAAGAATTTAAAATTAAATACCTTTTATGAATAATAGGTACCTATTTAACTTTTTATTTTTAGCTTAGGTAGCTTATTCTACTAAAATACAATTAGGAAGTTCTGCAAGTACTAGGCACTACATTTTTCATATATTATGCAGTAGTACGCGGCAAAAATAATATATTTTATTAGAACGATCTCTTAAATAATTTTATATACACTTTTTTTTTTAAATATAATTTCAATCTACACAATATTTCTGTACAATAAGTAATTTTGATATAGATATTTACAAAGCGAGATTGACGGATAGGGGAGGGCACTCAGTAGTGCTACCTAACAAATATACGTATATTTATAGAAAGTATAAATTGTATCTTGTATGACAACTACCGCGACGATGTCTGATGGCTCACGAACAAATTAGATGATATTATTTTCCATTATGAAACCGAAATAAAAGCAATCATCAATGCATCTACATTATACACGTCTATTATAATATATCAATATTAGTGTTCAAATTTCACAAGTCGCCTCTATGGTTCTATAATTAAAAGATATCATAAATGATAACAAAACAATAATTATTATTTACATAAATGTGCCTATCTATACATAATGATTGTAAAACATATATAGTTTGTTTAAACAAACATATAAAATAGATACGCTATAATAAATATTATAATAATATAAAAATAAGGGGGAGAGGGGCATTAATTGATCATGGGGCGCACTAGGAAAGCTCTCGGTGTCCCAGTGGAGTCAGTGGTCCAGTATACAGGCCTGTATTGGCATACTTCATTATCGCCAATATACTAGAGAATATTATTATAATATGTGTATTGTGTATCGATATTATTGTAAATTTTATTAGCGAGTTATAATGATAATGATCAATTTAATTTATAAGTATTATACTCTTTAGATAAAATATTATCACATTTAAGTTTCATAATAGGTCATCCGCCTTTAAATAAAAGCTAACAACACAAAAAATTGATTCAGTGAAATTCAAATTTGGTATATAATAAATTTAATGTATGTATTTATAAGACAACGACAACACCAGTGCGTTTTCAGACTGTTAGGGGCAGTCCTCTTCAGTGAAGCGTATATGAATTTATGATATATTATATTTAAACCCTAGACGTATAGAATTTTCTGTGTAATATATTCATCAATGATTTATAACAAAAAAGAACTACCATAAATCGTTTTTCATCTAAATTCAATGACAACATTTATGTATTATTTACGTCGTACGTGTGCGTATTATTTTTAATTGATTTGAAATTTCACATGTATGTATATACTATATACCTATCTATGTATGTAATTTTTTTTAATCAAAAATTTCCAGTGTTGAAGAAACAACGGTTAGATGACTTTCGAGTATATATAAATACATGAACTGCGGCGAATAATATTGTATACATTATATTATTATAGCAAGTATGTAGTGGTTCAGAAGTTCAGGTGCTGAGAAAAATGGCACTGAGATCATTAAATTTACCTGAAATAAACTGTAGACTATAATAGCTATACATTGCAGTATATTTATGTACTTGCGTTGGTGTCTGGGGTCAACTCGTTACCTGTCCGGTTCTTGTTTGGGCCGAATCGAGGAAATAATTGCCGTATCAAAAACGTTTGACGTTTGGTTTGTGCAAATTTCTATTGAACATAATATATAGCCACGTATAGGTTAGGTACCTACGTCATCGAAAGACGTAGGTTCAAATATATTTAAACACTCGCAAAATTATTATGTTAAACGTTGGTAAGAAGTCTTGCAAGATATGCGAATACGATAAATTTGTTTACAATAGTGTAGGTATTTCTGTATAATATATTACATTATGTATATTGTATGGGTATAGTTAATTTTTATACGTATAGATTCAAAAGCTTGTTTTTATTTATTGCTTTATAATAACGTTTGTAAAGCAACACTGTCTTATTTTTTGTATATCTTTTATCAGTGATGGATTTATTGGGTATTCGTGTGGGGAAGGAGTTCTGAAGAATAAACAAATAATATGAACATTCATAATCGTATGTATACAAATACACAATACAACAAAATTCATTCAACACAGCATTGTTATAATCATTAATATGGAGTTTGTTTTGATACAATATTTACATATTATACACGTGGAAGTTTAAAAACTAAAATTAAGCTTAAAGCACCTTGTACTGAGTTGAACCTCATACAATTTTACAGATAGATATATTTATAAATAAATGTATTATACTGCAGGTATATTAAAAATTCAATGATACAATTAGTACAAATATATAAATAATCTACTATAGTTTTTTTTTTTAATAATATTATCTAACGTCAGAATTCCTAATTATACTTATATAATAATATATAGTAGACTAAAATAATTTAATATATATTTATAATACCTATAAAGATTTTAGGAAATTGTGTTTTTAGATTCCGAACAGAGTGATTTACGAATATACTGATTTTACAATGATGTGTGTTTTATTTTTTTGAGAATGTGTACACGATAATTATTCGATAAAATGCTTCGATTTTCAAAAATGGAGGTGGATTTAAATAGCATATTGGATTTAGTTTGTACTTTAGAGCGGTAAAAATAAAAATAAAAAATTTTCGAATTTTTTTTTTTACAATCGGGAAAAACAAAAAAAAAACCGGGAATTTTTACGCAAATTTAATTTAAATTTTTGTTTGTTTGGTGTAATTCTAAAACGAATAACTATTTTTAATAAATGTCCACTAAATGTTTATAATATTATCATATTTTATTTATGATAAAATTTCAAAATATTTCGAATGCTTTTGAGTTATTATGACTAGAATCATTTTTTATTTTTTTCAGTTTTTTCTATAAATACTGATAAAAAAGATTTTTAGTTTCTATAAAAGTTGTTCTTAATTCTTATATTTGAATAAAAATATTAAAAATACATAGGCACAAGGTAATTTACAGTAACTACTAATAATCACAGAAAGATATTATAACATTTCGACTTGTATAAATTGATATATAATGCGGTATAAATTAATATTATTTTAATTAAATTCTTCATTATCTAAGAAAAATTTGTATTGACCTAGTGTAATAATAAAAGTAAAATAAATAACATACCACGAAATATACTTAGTAACAAAGACTGAAAGATTGTCTTCGCTCAAAACTGTTTTTTGTGTACAGTTATACGATTAAGATGATATATCATTGAATTTAAATTTAACTCATCCATAATAATGACCCACTCGACACCTAATGTACATCAGAGCGGTACCTACTTATCTACCTTTTTTTTATATCGTAGGTATATACAATTTATTATTGATATTATACTTTAAAACAATATGTGTAGGTATACAATAATATAACGTAGGTAGTACAACAATATTGTAAATTTATGAGTCAGAAAAACTCTTTGCAAGGATCCACAATCTGTTTGAGTATAATTTAATACTGATAGATTGTATATAGTTAAAACTTGAAGACATACAAGTAGTTACGTGATATTTTTGCGACGATGCCATTTCCAATGATATTAAAGATAGGTACCTAATTTACGTGTAGTGAATAGTGATTTTTGATGAATACAATTTGACCTTATGTAGATATGTATCAATATATTAGTTACAAGGGGTAATAAAGCTATTTTAAAATTACTTACATATCTTTAAAATTGTATAATAGCTAAATAGTTAATAGGCAAGAAGTTAACAATACATTTACAAAGTATGCTTATAATAATAACCTGTCTTGATTAAAAAAAAAAAAATTATTTCAAATATTTTATAATTTACTTATTTAACTATCTACAATCAAAAACTCTAAATTAATATTAATTTGTATCAATAAAATAATGAAGTTAATAATTACATTAGTTCAGATAATGAAAAACAATTTTGATACCGATACGGATACTATTATTATAAAAATTCTAAAAGTTAAAAGAGCTCTATACTATATTTATTATGTATCTTGAATAATCGGCATTAGTAACATAATAATATAACATTTGGCGTCTTAGCTATCTGTATAGTTTATGGAATTATAATATATATTTTTGTTATAGGTAATTCCTATGTATATACCTAATAAATAATTACTAGTTAGTAGTTACCACACATAAAAATTATACATATACATTAGTAGACTTAGATAGCAACTAGCTTGGAATGTCTTGAAAAAAAAGTTATTTACATCTAATGTTTATTGTAGTATCTACACGACTATACGTTGCTAATATGATACGAACATTTTGAATTTATGCATAAATAAAATTATAAGATTACTAAAAGAAATTCCTTTCATTCTTATTTCTACGTTGGGGGTGTAATGCAAGCGAGGTATAATGTACTTATGCTGTTATCGTATAACGTATAGGTACTGTACCTAAACAACGCTGAACGCAATCGTGCCGCGTGCTCAGCAGTTACTATACTATAATACGTATAACACCAGTTCGAAACACTGTAATCGCACATTTCATGACGTTGGTTCGATACAGTCGTAAATTCTCAACTGCCCGTGTCTTTGTAACAAATTTAATAATATAGGTATATACTTAAGCGTTTCGTATCGCTTAACGTGATTTTGGAATTTTTAATTGTTACATTCATAATTCAGTGAGTTTATAATATCATTATTATTTCTTACCTATATTTTTACACATTATATATTATACATTATACATATACACAACATAGTAACATATCGTATTATGTACAGGTATGTCGTTTATCTGCTTGACCATTATAACTATGATATTATAGTATATTACGAGTATGTATTCTCAGTTTTAAAAGCATATCTTGGTGTCCTGACCGGTTGTGAGATGTTGAGAGTAAATATGTACACTGTAACTTATCATTAATAAAATATTATAATAATAAATAATAATGTATTTTCGATTAATTATTAATAAATATTTAAATAAAAAAAGAATATATACTTCCATAAAAAAAAATCCTAGTTATAGGTTGGTAATAAGTATGTACAATGCACTATGTAGTATATTAGTGTGTTCCTGCCTAAAACCTACCCATTAATTAAATAAAAATGTAATTAATTTTTCTATTACAGTATATTATATATTTATATGAAGTAGGTAATAGTTTAATAAATAATTTATCGCATTTAGTCGAATAACACGATAAAACTAAATTACCTACCTATCTTTTAAATGTGAAATTGTAAAATAATTTAATTTATATCATGATATAATTATGTAGGTATGGTCATATTATTTAATATTAATTATACTATGGAGTAGTTCGTAAAAAGTATTTTGTATCTTACTAGATTTTTATTTTAATATAACGATTTTGTGGAAATGACTAATAATTATATTATATTTTTTAATTAATGGAAAGATACATTATTATTTATTCGTTTTATTTTAGTAAAATTTTTATATAATAATATTATAGTCATGATGTACATATTTTTCTCAGTTTCCGGACAAACTGAATTTACTGAATGACCGTTCAAGACACCGCCGCGGGATATGCCTTTAAAACCGGGACGAATGGCAAACCTGCCTATCACCATATAATGTAATATGTATAATTTATAGCTGTATTTGTTTAATTTATATTATGCTTTAATTATGTAAACGATTTTTTTCCTGCTAATGAATTACTTAAGCAATTTAAAAATTATATTCACATAATATGTCTAATGTCTATATAATAATACCTATGCTCTCGTTTTCTTGATGAACATAAAAACAATTTTTTTAGTAGGTGTTAAATTGCACCTTTAAGGTAAACTTTAAGGTTATATCTTTACAATTAATATAATATATGTGTGCAATTCATTTTATTTAGTTTCCAGAAAATGGTATACATAATTTTTATTATAATTTAAAATATTAGGTATTAATTATTTTATTACCTATAGAAACTATTAGAAACATTGTTAATGTTAATTCAATGCTACGTAGACACTACAGAAGTGAAAAGAGAATACCTAGCATAAATTTATAATTGAATATTAATCACCCGCGTTCAATAATTTATTGCATCGAACAATATATAATTTAATAATTATAAAATATCGTGTACGTCACGTACATACGTAAGAAGGTATATTATGTATAAATATTATGAGCTCATTATGCAATTATAAAATTAAATATAAAATTAAAATATTATATGCTAGTTTAGCAGGTATGCACCAATACAGTTCATAATAATCGTTCAAACCTAAAAAAAAAAATTGATTTTTTCACGTTTAGAATTGATGACATAATATATATAATTTATTTTAAGTGTCATCCGTAGTCATTATGTAACGCCCAGTAACGGCTAGGTACCCATTGATACGTAAACGGTGTTATATAGCACTATTATAGTGTATACTTGCTATAATAGCAGTGTATTATGCTCGTATTAAAATTGATGAGTAATGCAAATTCCAATATCCCATTATAGGCATTTATAAAATATAGGTGTGGACCCGTTGTGCTAGTCATATCCTTTCTACATTTCTTCGAGTAGGTAGATAAAAATAATCTGTCCAAGTATTGGTGATCATGAGGGTAGACTTTCGGGGGCTGGCAATTGGCATTCTCAAAATTTAACGTTTTTTGTACGTTTAACGAGTATTTTTTTTTTTATGGCATCATACTATATCATTGGAACGATAAGTTATTATTTCTAAAATAATTTAGTAATCATAGAGTTGAGAAGTTTGGATAATAAATTTCTAATTAGTAAAAATGCCAAAGAGAAAACTAAACGCGTGTGGTAGCTGGTAGGTACCTATACAGAAAATGATGATCTAAATATTAATACCAATTTATATGTCATTTATATAGTAGCCACATAATTGTTAATGTCATGTTATTATAGGTATGTATTATAATAATAATTAAGTTTATCGCACTCTCTGATGTAAGTAATCTATAATAGATACTTATTATAATAATATTTAATGACTATTGAGTAATATTCAATAATATATTATAATTATTGCTCATATTAAAATATCATAAATCATAATAATTATAAATTAATACCAAAATTTAGGGATTAGTGTCGTTTTAAATATTGTAATTTATTATTAAACGGTGTTCCCCTCCGCCCACTGACACACTGGTAAGTTCAAATCAATAAATCCTTTTTATCGTCACGTTGTGGTTATCTAAACTTTAGTTCCACAATGCAATCGCCTACCGAATACCGATGTTCAGGAGTGGGGAGTTTAAAGCGGCGACAGATTGATAAGATTAGCGACGGCGTCTGCTGATAAGCGTTGCCGTGGCGCGAAGGGACAACGAGTAGATATTAATATTATTAATGTAATATTATTCATTATTATTAACGTTGCCGTCATAGTCGGTCGTCCGCGCATTGAATTGTGTCTAACAAAAACGAAACGGTACAGTTCTACAGTGTTCGTTCGGCATCGGCGGCGACTACAATTTTCTAACGTGGAAAATAAACATCGACATAGGTCGGTACTAGCGGTCTCTGACGGTAAGTCGGTAATCGTACGGCGTGCGCCTTTCCTATACTCGTGCAGTTGCCCGGCCATTCGCCCCACCTACGTCATTTTAGGTTCGTTCGTTCGTTTGTTCGCTCGTTCGTCACTCGTCTATTTCTTTTTTTTTTCGTTAAGGGTAAAGAACTTGCCATCCACGCTGTGACGCTGGAAAATCGTTTTAATTCGGTCAGTTTGCGAGGTCGAGAAGACGCGGTGTGCTCAATACACCAACCCGTCCATTTTATCTATTAATTTATTTATTAGCCATTTTTCATTTCTCCCTCATCACAGTCGCGTGTTCGGACGCAAGTTACACGGGGGACGTTCATACGGCAACATCTGTTTTCGCTGAAACACATTGCTCGACGTCTCATATCGACTACCTCCATCACCTCACCTGTACCCGGTGACCGTTGGGTCGTTGTCATTCGAATGTGTTACGGGATTCTTGCGGTCCTGTGACGTCTGACGCCGCTGCTGTGTTTACCCATCATGCTGAACATTCAAATCGACGATTGGATACGTGAACCCGCTGAAGACGTGAGATACAGCAGCAATTGCGGTGGAGCGACTGTCAGATCTTGGCGCAGCAAGTGCGATCCCGGTGAATGACGCCCCCCGTCTACAACTCTCAAGCGCCGCAAACGACCCAGGTGATAATGGCCGATCTCGTGGCCAGATTCAGCAAACTTGTGCGTTTGCACGGTGCTGGCCATAAAAAAGTTAACCATCAGGAAGATCCGGTCTGCACGCCTCTCCGTAGTAAGTGATTAACAATAATTTTTAGATAACATGTGTTTTGAGAACATTTTTCATATATACCCAACAATTTTCATATCTTCTTACCTAATTATAATAAAATATACCTATCTTTATCTTTTAATAATTTTTGGTATTAGATAAATAGTTTTTATGACAATTATTCCACCATTTCTCTTAGATAGCACCTACCAAAATATGTTTTATTTGTATGTAACCAACCATACAAAATAAAGGTTATGTATTCTAGTTCCAATTGAATTTTCATAAACATAATATATATCTCTTGAATTAAATTTTTTACTTAGGTAGGTAAAATCTATTTAAATTGTATGCAATTAACTGATTGTGGAATAAGAAGTATTATTTTTTATTTCATAAATCATTAAAAATAAATAAAGTGTTTTTGTTAATCAAATAAACTTGCTGTATTATGTACCTAGGTCTTTTTTAATTTTATCTATATTATCTATTTACAACTTATGGAACTTAAATGCAAATGAGCATTAGAGTCATTGCTATTTTTAACTCTAGGTATATTGTTTAATAATACCTACTAAATATTTATACAAGTATCTTCTAGATTTGTATTTTATACTGATTTATGTTCATAATATTTTTTATTTTAGTAGGTACTTGAGTGGACGTTATGTACTGCCTCAAACTTACTAGTATAATATATCAAATTTTTACATTTAGAAGAGAAAGTATTGTTTTGTTGTTATTAGAGTATATTAATATCACATTGAGGTAACCTATTATCAAATTTAATGATAAAAATATTATTTAGGACACATGAGCATAGCCATAGAGTGTATAGAGTATGCAATGGCAACCCCTAATAGCAGAAAATTAAAAAAAAAACTGCTTTGCAAATAATAAAAATACTAATAGGTACATGATATTTATATAGTAAAAGAACTGCATATATTTATGCTCTTCCTATGAAGAATAATTTATTGTAATTTTATTGTCAACAAGTTAGTTTGGTAGGTATTATTTCTATTATTATAAAGGTACATCGAAAAGTTGTCTTGTACGTTATCATTAATATATTATTATGTTCGGAAAATTTAATTAATTATTGTTATTATTACTTAGAGTAGATTCTCAATCAATATTTGATGGTTTGATATTGTTGCTGTATGCTTCTTAAAGAGAAACATTTTTAAATATTGTATGTTCATTTTTTATCTTAATTTATTGCTAGTAGATGCATTTACTTATAATAAAGATAGCAAATTATGAGAATTTTAAAATTTACAAAAACCATTCAATTTTAAAATTTTGTATAACTTGTATCAAAATTAAAATATATAAAAAAATAACATAACAGGTTTCTACCTGATCTACCTTGATAACCTACCTTAGATACTATTCTTAACTTTAAATTTTATTAGTTTGTCATCTTATTCATAATTTGTATAAAGGTGTATCTTTTTTTGACAATTACTTCTATAGTTCTATACTATGTTTCAGTCATACATATTTATAAGAAGCTATTTGTTTTCTTATGTTTTCTATTTATAAAAATCTAATGAAAAATATGAGATAAATTATTACTTATTTTCCTGGCATTTTATTTACAACTCTATGATTAATATTAAAAGGATGTCTATGCATTGTTTGTTTTTTCTTTCTGGTCCAATACATTCATGTAAAATCATCTTTTTTGTTTGTATTTTTAAATTATGTTAGAGTAAAATCACCTATTACAAAAATTGAAGAGAATAATACTTTTGAAGGTTTGACATATTGATTTATCTAAATATTGTCTCAATTTAATAATTTAATAACCATCTAAATTTATAAACATTTTTTTTTTTTTTTTTTAGTAAAATATAAAGTTGAATAATAATAAAATACAAAACTGATGTGTCAAACTGTCAAACATATTATTCTATTCATTTATTTTAATAATTAATTCTAAGAAAAGTTGAAAATTATAATGAACAATTTATTTAAATTATCTGAATAAGGTTTATCTATCGTACTAGTCAGAAAAAGGAAAGAAAATAGGCTGATATCCTTTTAAATTTAATTCTTAAAAAGTTGTTGTTTATTTGTTGACTTAAACATTAAGTGATATAGTATTAAATGTAATTATCTTTAACCTGATTGTATGTACAATAAATAATTTAAATGGTTTGTTTTGTTGTTTAATAAAAATAATTAAAGTGCTTATTAGTTATTACTGATTAGTATTTACATGATTCTTTTAACTACATTATAATAGTATAAATTAAATTATACATCATAAAACTATGTTAAATGATGTGATTTAATAATATTAATTATATAGGAATTTAAATTTTTTTATTTTTTCAAAAGTGGTTTGCTATTCTAATGTATTCTATTGGGTATTTTTTTGTA